TCGAAGTACTGAATTATATTTACTTTTAACAGTTTCCTTTACACATTGTAGTCGGTTATACCCAAGGGTTAATGATTGGAAATTACCGGTGATAAATTTAAATATATTTTTTACGTGGAATTTGAGTAGGTACTTATACAAAAAAATATAAAAAACCACATATTTAATAAAAAAAATTTTTATTCTAGTTTTTTAAATTATATAAAAAGGAATATTGAAAATTATTTTATGTTTTAAGTACAAAATTTATAAATATTTTGTCTACGGTTAATAATACAAAAACTAAACTTTCTCAACAGCGTTGTTGATTAATAAATGAGATACGAGGGTCATTCAATAATAATAATAAATAATAATAAAAAGACAAATGGCTATAGCTCAAAACCGGTTTATTTCAATCTTTCAAAATTAAGGCTATTTTTCAACATAATCACCCCCCACAGTTATGCACTTGTCCCATCTTTCTTGCAGCTTCCTAATCCTTAACTTCCTCATTGTTAGTAAATCTTTTTCCACGTAGGGCGTCTTTGAGTGGTCCAAACAGGTAAAAATCAGATGGGGCGAGGTCGGGACTGTAGGATGAGGTTAGACCTCCCAACTTAATTCTTGAAGCTTATCACGGGTCAGCTGGGCTGTATAAGGTCGGGCGGTATCGTGCTGAAGAATGACTCTTTTTGACAAGAGTCCACGGCGTTTGCTCCTGATAGCTGGTCTAACTTTGTGTTCTAGCATCTCAGAGTAGTATTGGCTATTGATAGTTCGTTGATCTTCAAGTAAATCGCAATAGACTGGACCCTGTGAGTCCCAAAAGATGGTCAGCATCACTTTACCGGCGGAAGGTTGAACCTTGAATTTTTTGCGAACTGAAGAGCTAGTACCACTCCATACTCTGCTTTTTGGTCCTTGGTTTTACACCTTCTGCGACTAAAAATCTAATGACTGAGCAACTGCTCTTCTAAGGTGCAATCTTCTAGTGGACTTACCATGGTGAATTCAACATTTTGAGGTTATGTTGACATAAAATAATGAAGCAGCTGATCAGAGCATATCCCAAGGTTGCCAACTAACACCCCTGAAAAGATTGTACACATTCATTGAATAGTTTTAAAATTATAGAATTTGTCTCTTTACTTATTGAATGACCCTCGTACATTTTCTTATTTGATAATTTTGATAACACAAACTAAATAATCATTTCCGTATCAGATCCTTATCTAATGACACAAAGTAGTTATTCCTTAATTATTTTAATAAAATCATGTTTGTCATGAAATGTCAATCATTAAATAATTATTATCTAGAAAAGATGTGTCATTTTAGTTGTATACATTATAGAAACTAATTAAAAATGTATTACAGTGTGTTGTTATACTGTTTAACTGTAACGGGTCAACTACAACAGTTTAACCCTAACAGGTCATCAATGGGTTTTTCCTGTTTATTCTTTTAGACAGAGATTTTAAATTATATTTAAGTCATTTTGAATTTTTTTGACTACATATAGAAAACTTTTTTATTATTAGTTTTATCAAAAAAATGTATTCTTTATAAAAAGTTCTGCATAGTCTAAAACCCAAAATTCAACCATCAGATATCAAATTTTTTAAGCCGTATACAAGGTGCGTCAAATATAAATAAATTTTGATCAAAAGTAAAGTACCAACTGTTTATGTAATTTAGCGGTATATGGAAAACTTTGTTATTACTAATTTTAGGAAGAAAATATATTTTTCATAAAAAATTGTGCATGATCTAAATCCTAAGTAACAGGAGGCCTAGCACCGATCATTGAGATACTCCGATGGTGACTTGTCGATCGGAGGAATGTGACTGTCCAACTTTGACACTAAAATATCTATTGGTAAGATAATTTTCGATCCACTTGTTCAGATTGCCTCGAATACCAAAGTGTTCTAGTTTAAGTAATACCCTTTTATGAGATACTCTATCGAAAGCTTTCGCAAAATCCTGATATATATTATTGGAATCAAGGGCTCTTGACCAATCACTAGTACACGCCACCAGGTTAGTTATGGTAGATTTGCCCTTAAAAAATCCATGTTGTTCATTGGGAATAATTTGATGTTCTGTTAGAAATTCGGAAATTCCGTTCCATGACCCTAGACGGGACTGATAAAAGACTAATGGGGCGATAGTTTGAAGGTTCCAATTTGTCGCATTTTTTGAAAATGGGTGTGTATGATGCTATTTTCCACTGACCTGGTAAGGTGGATGTTTGAAATGATAAATTCATAATTATTGAAAGGGGCGTACTCATAATGTGTTTTTTGACAATTTCGGGGGTAAACGATACATTGCTTAAGGTGATATTTAAACGTGGAGCTACAATTTTCGGAATCGTATTTTTATTTGTTTCGTTTGTAAAAGTTAAGTTGAATGTTTCTGCCAAAATTTCTGCGGATTCGAGGTTACTGGAACTGAGATAACCATCGGCTTTTCGTAACAAAGAAACACAAACTTTTGAGTTTAGACTACTACAGATATATTTTATAGTTTTTTCGGATTGTCAGAATCTGTAAGGGTCTCTTCGTATTCATTTCTTGTCGAACGGATTGTAGCAGAAAATATGTTAGAGAAGTTTATGTGTATTTTATAGCGAGTTAGGACGTTTGATTTTCTATATTTTATCCAAAAACGTTTTTTGTGTTGAATTAAGAACATTAGATCAGCGTTGATCCAGGGCTTGAGAGGTTTTTTTACGTGTGTGTCTATCAATTGTAATAAATATTATTGTGTGAAATGTATTCCACATATTATTAACATCTTTTACAGGATTTAAAAGCGGCAGCCAGTTTATTACGGAAAGTTCAGAATAAACAGTCATAATTGGTTACTGAGTAAGTGTTGAGGCTATTCGTTTTTGAGTTCTCAAGGGTTATTTGTACAGATGCTGATATAACTAGGTGATCCAATATACCAATCGGAGGGAAATAGTTAAATTCTGAAATAAGTTATTCATCGTTGGTGGTGATGATATCTAAAGTAGATGGTTCATTATTTATTCGAAATCTCGTTGGTTGATTAACATGTTGATGTAATTTACTTTCTAAAATAAATTGCATAAAATTAGTCATGGGATTGTTTAGATCAGGAATAAGAATGATTGGCCAAGAAATGTCACGAAAGTTGAAATCGCCAATAATGACGATATTTTCATAGCTGGAAATGTGTTCGAGTTATTGGATGAGCAAATAATTAGCTTCTATACTAACGTCATTTGGTCTGTAGATACATGCCATATTTAAAATATAAGATTTTGTTTCGATAATCGTATGAGTAATATTTCAATGTTAGATCTGGCAAGATACTACGGTAACAAATTATCGACAAGCATTTGTCTCTCAACTGGAAAGGACAACAACCAATTGTCGCCCATATAGGTAGTGAAAGTAGTTTTTTAAACAACAGTGCCTTAGTTTTCTTATCTAAAAAAAAACGGGAAATTATCACGAAAACATGGACGGTCAACGCTTTGAAAGTTGGTTTGAAACCCTACTTTCTCGGATCGAGCTAAATTCAGTGATAGTGCTTGATAACGCTTCTTATCATAGCCAATTAGTGGAACATCTACCCACTATGGCCACTAAAAAAGCGGTGGTGCAAGGTTGGTTGCGACATAAGGTAATACCCTTTTCTAAGGACATGGTTAAAGGGAAGCTTATAACCATAATTAAACAGCATCGAGACAGATATCGTCAGCATGTTGTAGATACATTAGCTCTTGCTCGAGATATAAACGTATTAAGACTTCCTCTGTACCATTACGAATTGAATCCGATGGAACTTATTTCGGCTCAAGTAGCTCGTGAAAACGTGACATTTAAAATTAGTGACGTCCAACGTTTACTGGAAATCAGAATGGCATGATTACGAAAGTAGATAGGACAAATGCCGTAACCACGTCATCAAATAAGAAGGCAAAATGTGGAGATTGAACGGAATGGTGGACCATGTAATCGAAAAGGTGGTGATTCTCAAAGGATTCCAGTTCTGAGGACTGTTCAGGATGATCCTTTAGTTCGGTCCAAATCATTGGTATAGCAAATGGCATATGTCTGGGTTCTTGTTTAGCCTAATCTAATAGCAGTCTCACACACGTTACACAACATTTATGTGGAACTCTGGATTTATTTTGATTCCTCACAGGAAATCCAAAATAGTCTAAATAGCACTGTTCAATTAATTTCGACGCTGAAATGTAAAAGTTAATTCTCCACACACAACAAAAACGGTCGGGGTTGTTAGAATGTAACATGTACGATGTAACAAACATATAGATATAAGATGTAAGTTAGTTGAATGCAATAGTTATACAGTCGTCTAAATGAAATTATTCAAAAAAAGACACATATATGAGGTCAGAAATGAATATGTAGCTGTCACAAAAAAAACTGGACGTGATTGAAACAAAATTACTATATATTGTTAATGAGGGTACGCCAACATGAATAAAAATCATCACAAAGTTCGTGTGACAAAAACAGTGTTTACCAGTGAACAATTGCTAAATTATTTAAGTATTTTTTTACTTTAAATTTATTAATTATTAGAAGGCCATACTTTTTTAATTCCTATCAACATTTTAAATTACATTTTTTGTTCTGTATTTAAATGTAAATGCACTTTTTATTTTCCCTGTATACCACTAAATATTTTACAAATTTTTTTTTATAAATATTTTTTTTTTGTAAAATTAATAATAAAAAATTCTCAATTCTTGTCAACTTTTTCAGACATTTTATACAAAGTAGATTACACAATATTTAACGTAAATCAATAAAATCGTCTCAATTAAAGTTTATTCAATGTCAGCATTTTATCGCGAATCTTTGTTACGCCGCTACATAGAAGGATTATGGGTAATTCTAGAAATACGTTGTTGCCAGCTGATCATAATCCTTCGATGAGCCACCATTATTTAAAAATTGTTTGACTATAGCTTGTCCTCGTTTTAATTAAAATTAAATTGTAAAAACTTTACGTCTTTATCACTCCTTAATACAAAACAAGCAGGTGCTCGCCTAACCCCTCACAATCTGTCAACTGTTATTATTATTCACAAGATTCCCCTAAATGCCCCTCCGTTCATGTTTAATCGCAACACTTCCATCTGAAAGTCCAACAACCTTTACTTCTAGGCGACGGAATAGATTCTGACCAATCGCGGGCGACCAGGATCAGGTGGCTCAGAAGGCTCAGAATTTTCCGTCTCTCGTTTCGATGGCTTCGCTTTGCTCTCTTCCTGCGATTTTTTCGCGTTGACAATGACTTCTTTTATCTGCCTCTCCAGGGCCGCCTCGTTAGACTAAAACAAACGAATGGCGATTATTAGATGTCAGGTTGGGATATGGGGTGGTGTTGAAAAGGTGAAAAATGTATAGGGTTAATGTGTAATCGGTGTCCTGTCGCATTTGGGTGTCGTAAAGTTTTTGGTAGGGCTGAAAACCCAAGATTATTAAAGTTTTGCTAGTGCCCTCAGTTTTTAAAAGTGTATTAAAAGTTTAATGTATTACTAAGTGAATCGAATACTGTGGTCCAATTAAAACACCATAATGATTATTCATATCTGAAAACAGTATTTATCTGGTTGATTGTACTGTCCAACTCATAAAAATAAATTCTACAAAATTTCAATACAAAAAAAGTTCATTGTTGGTAATATTGAAACGGTATTGTCAAGCTAATTATTCATAAGGTATTGATACAAATATGTAAACTTTTAGGTTCGCTAATAAACATTGTTTTTTTTTTAATAAAATTACAGAAAGTGGAACTTTATTTTTTGTCTTTACTATATACAAGTTTTGCCAGATCTTAATGGGGCCTTATCTTGGACTTGCCGCGTCTGCATAATTCTACTTGTATTTGCTATGATTGTGTTATCATAACTTAAAAGATCACTTATATATTTTATAATGTAATGTAATTTTTATTGCTACTCATAAAATGCAATACTCTGAAAAGAAGGTGTTTTATAAAAATAAATTAAAACCGTGGATCAACGGAGAACTAATATCCTTGATTAGACATAAAAGTAAATTATGGCGTAAATATAAGCGGTCAAATAGTATTGTCGATCTAGAATATCACAAAAATGTTTCCAAGGACCTAAAGAAATTTATAAATAAGGCCCGAGAAGAATATGAAGAGTCAATAGCATGCATCCAAAACTGTAAAAAATTATACAAATATATTAGATCTTCACTGTCATCAAAAGTATCCATTCCTTTACTTAACAAAGAAGATGGAAGTCCCTGCCAAAATAATTTCGAAACGGCTGAACTTTTAGCTAATACCTTCACAAAAGTTTTCACCAATGAACCTCCCCAAGATCAGTTACCAGATATCTCATCCGAAAGAATCCATTCTTCCTTAAAACGGCTCAATTTTACTCCTGAAATTGTCAAACGTCATCTTTTAAAATTAAAAAACAATTCCTCTCCGGGTCTAGATCAAATATCTTCTCTATTTTTAAAACAATGCTCTAATACCATATCAGTTCCTTTATCTATTATAATGTCTTTGTCTTTTAATACACACACATTACCCTCTATCTGGAAAATAGCTTCTGTAACACCCATTTTCAAGAAAGGAAACAAACTAGACTCTAATAACTACCGCCCAGTCAGCCTCACACCCATAATCTGTAAAGTTATGGGATCCATAATAACAGAGCACGTTTCTCAGTTTTTCTTAGCGGAAGAAATCATTCCCAAACAGCAACATGGATTTGTAAAAGGGCGATCAACCATGACCAATTTGCTTTGGTGTGTAAATGAGTGGACAGTTTCATTAGATAGGAAAAAACCTATAGACATTATTTACCTGGATTTTGCGAAAGCTTTTGATCGTGTGCCGAAACGAAGATTACTACATAAGTTAGAACACCTTGGTATACGTGGTGATTTACTTAAATGGATCGAGTCATTCTTAACTGATAGAAAGTACAGTGTTAAAGTTGGAAATTCGCATTCATTTGAAAGATCAGTCTTCAGTGGGGTTCCTCAATGATCAGTTCTGGGTCCACTCTTATTTATAATATATGCCAGTGACCTTCAATTCCATATCAAGTGCAACAATATTTTTTACGTAGATGACACTAAAATATTTAGTACCCGTCTCTGAACTTCCAACAGCTTCAAGATGACCTTCTATAACTGGTGCTCAGATTGGATGCTACCTCTAAATACAAATAAAAGTGTAGTTCTCCATATTGGTAAAAATAATCCTCGTCATAATTATTTTCTAAACGGTCATACGTTAAATAAAGTTAAATCTTACAATAATCTAGGTGTTATAATTACTAAAAATCTCAGCTGGTCTGAGCACGTTCTTCAAGTGTCAAAAAAGGCGAACACGAAAATGTACCTATTAAAGAAAACATTCGCAAAAGTGTCTTTTCAAAATTCTATCCGGCTGTATAAATTATACATTCGTCCGATTATCGAGTACTGCGGAGCTGTGTGGTGTCCGGAACTAGTGCGGGATAAAAATATTCTTGAAAATATTCAGCGCCGATCAACCAATTCTCTACCGGAGAATGTTGTAAATGCTCCATCTGTCAATGTTTTCAAGAACGAACTTGATAATTTTCTATTTTTTAATTAACATTTCATTGTTTATTCATCGGTTGTACCTGTTATTGATTTAGTTTTTAGTAATATTGTTTTATATTCAGTTAATATGGGCTTATGGGTCTTATGGCCCCTGCTCTTATCAAATTATAATAATAATAATAATATTTCTATAGGTTACAACTTGAAAAATTCTTTCAAAAAATAGTTATTTGCGTACCAAGCAACTTCTGGTATGGCCAAAAAAGATTATGTGCACACATTTTTTTTAAGTGACTGTCTTACCAAAATAGGCCCAACTTCCTAAACAGAGACAAATGCAAAAATAATTTCGAACTTTTATTGATCAAATAAAAAAACATACAGAGACAGAATTACTAACGATAAGTATAATAAATAGAACTTTTGTTCATAAATAATATAATAAGTATATAAAATAAATGTGTTATTTTAGTCAATTACCAACATAAAAAAATATTTACACTATAAGAAAAATATCTATTTTTTTATAGGAAAACATTTTTGATTTATTTTTTATTTTTAAAAATGATTCAACGTACAGACACATTAAGTGACATTGTTCTTTTAACTTCATTCAATTTTAAATAATGGAAAAATTAACGACTACAGTGTGTAAAATAACAATAGAAAAGCATTATATAAGTAAATTAAAGGTTAACGAAGGTTGGGATCGTTGATAATGACATTAACGTTGGTATTTATAACAAAGAAAAAATAGAGTTTAAGATTTAATTATTCAATAATACCGTTTTAATGTAATCGAAATAAAGTACATACAGGATCCGAAATAAGGTTGACCTTCATCCATCTGTTTAACGGATGAAAGTTTTTTTTTGTTAAATAAAATATGTTTAAAAATACAGGGTGTTTTCAAAGTTGAATCATTTATTTTAACAGCTTGAAGAACTCGCCAAAAGAAGTCGATATACCACGGATGTTTGTAAATTTAGTTATTCGACTTCGTGAGACAGGATACTTGAAAGAACAACGAGGGGGTCACGCTGGAAGACCTGCTCCACCTGAAATGGTAGAAATTGAGGAAAATATTTTGGAAATGGTGGAAGATGACCCAACAATAAGTACCAGAGCCATAGCAACTCAAGTCGATGTTTCCCATAGTAAAGTGTGGAAAACAATACGACAGGAACAATATTATCCTTATCATTATCAATGGGTACAAGCATTACAACCTGAAGATCATTCTAGAAGAATTGAATTTTGCCAGTGGTTTTTACAACAGTTGAACAGAAATGAAGATTTTACGAAAATAATTTTAGATACAGACGAATCCACATTTACACGAAATGGGATATTCAATTTTCACAACAATCATGTTTGGACAGTAGAAAATCAGCGTGCCGTAAGAAGATCTAATTTCCAACATAGATTTTCATTAAATGTTTGGGCTGTTGTAATAAATGGCATGCTTATTGGACCATACTTTTTGCCACCTCGGCTAACCGGCGACATTTATTTAGATATTCTTCGACACCATCTGCCAGAATTATTAGATGTTCCACTGAATGTTAGACAGGATATGTGGTTTCTACATGACGGAGCTTCCACCGCATTTCAGAAGAGGAGTTCGTGAATATTTGAATGAACAGTTTCCGAATAGATGGATAGGGAGAAATGGACCCGTTTCTTGGCCTGCACGCTCCCCGGACCTAACGCCTTGTGATTTTTTTCTGTGGGGTTATTTAAAACAGTTGGTGTATCATGATGGAGAAGTAAATACTGTGGAAAAACTTCAAGACCGCATTGTAAATGCTTGTGATGTTATTCGTGGATATCCGGATTTTATTTTTGAGGCCTGTCAGGAGTCGTGAGTACGCCAAGCAAGACTATGCATTAATCGGACAAATGGTGATAATTTTGAACAATTTTTGTAAAAATGGAATACATTTTACCGATAATGAATGTTTTTAATTTTAAAAAAACCTATAACTCTCTTATTATGCAACTCTTATTTAGATGATATTTGGTATATCGACTTCTTTAGACGAGTTCTACAAGCCGTTAAAATAAATGACTCAACTTTGAAAACACCCTGTATATCGCAAATGGGTTGCCTAATAAAATACTGTCACGGCTAAAAAAGTTGATCTAAGGTCTTATATATTACTACTTTTCATGAAATACATCTCATTAGCCCTATAAGCACCCGTTATATCAATTATGAATGCAACTTAAATTTTATATTAATATTAGTATATTAGCATGCCAAAGCACTGATGAAGCATGTACAATTTATAATTTTACTGCCATTACTTTCGGCACATACAAGTTCTTGCACCTAGGTGTCTAACTTAATTTATTATTTTTCAAAACATTTGTAAATATCCATTGTGATTAAATTTAATTTAAATAAATAAATTATATACTGAGGCCCCATAGGAAAGGCCAGGGGCGGTTTCTCCATTGGTTCATTTGTGCAGTGAACACCCAGTTAAATTTCATAAAAATTCATTATTATAATATTACATAAATAACATAAAAAAATAAATTTAATTTTAATATTTTTATTTTCATACGTGTTAATCTATATTTTTTTGTACATCATTGTCCTTTGGCTAATCGCGTCTCTGTGTCACAGTATACCTAAGTATACTGTGTCTGTAGCGCATTATGATGAGTGAACCTAACACGAGTGAGCAGATATGCCGAATGCATATAGCTAAGAAGAGAAGACAACACGCCAACAGATCCT